AATAATTGCAAGAACTCTTGCATACCTACATGTGAAAGAAAACTCTCACACAACTTCTGGTTATCTTGATTCTTGCTGGTTCTGCTTTGCAGGTGTATCAGGAGAAAGGGTTGAGAGACAAGGAGAGATACCGGACAGAAATGTTGGAATACCAATCTTCCATGCACTCACAAGCTCAATAAATAATAACTTTGAGGTACTTTTAAGTTACCTTTTGGCAGGACTCCCCCCAAAACCAAAAAAAAGAAAAAAAATTCTGAACCAAAAACCCACCCAAAAACTGCCCCTTAGAAAAAGAAGCAATCTATTTGTTTTTGTCTATGCTTTCCTCCTCTTTTGCTTTGTTGTTGTTGGGGCTGGTGGTGGTATTTTCATAGTTGTAGTTTGGGTTTTTTTCCCTTCATTTTGAAAAACTTTCTTCCTGTATCAAAATTACAGGAAAAAAATGCTTTGTCACTGAATTAGTGGGACATAAAAAGGGGTGACGATATGTATAAAATATAGTGAATTGTGTTGTATCAGATCTTGAATTGCTGAGACAATGGTTCAGTTTTGATGCTCTTCACATTTTAAGTTACATCATCTGCTTGTACATTCAGTGCATTGACATTTCATGTCATTATGCAGCATTGGAAAACAAGAAGTCCTTTTAATCGGCTATGTAACTCACAGGTAGCCAGCAGTGGATCTCTTCTGGGTGGTATTAGGTTGGGCCAGATAAGGTTTGAGTCCAAAGTTGCTCCACCGGAATCTTGTCCATTTGGGTAGGAACTTATGAACTGATTGGGTGACCCTTCGTAGTGGTGGTTAGATTGTACATTAGACGAGAGATGTACAGATAGAAAGTTGATCTTGGATTTTAGTTTTGAACTTGTGTTGGCGACAAGAGTGCCACTATGGCCAATGATACATATTAGGATTCCTCCAACTCCTTTACTTTTCGTAGGAGGTAATAACAGTTGTGTAGGAATACCTTTCCTTCGCTAACTTGGATAGTCAGACTAAGATTGTAATGTAGAAAACTCCCACTACACCACTCTTGAAGCTTTGTGAGTCATTGTCTTCGAGTTTATTGCATGGAATTGTTTGGTATGGCTTACACGTCCTGAACTTTTTCCATGTACGAGTGTGCTGTCTCATTGGGCCGCTGATGATGGCCCTTATTTGGTGGTTTATACATGTACAAAGTTTTTCCTTGTAGGAGGGTGCTGTCTCAGTGAGGGACGCTGTGACAATGGCACTTGGCTGTCTTTAGTATATGATGCAGTTATCTAGTTATACAACCAGCAACATTGGGGCAGCTCATTGTATATCGTTTGATATATGAAATGGAGAAAGCAATTGATTCAAATTCGATTTTACTCTGAATTACATATATCTGGGTTTCTCCTCTCTGTAGGTTTTTGCTAATTCGAGGACGTGGTGATAGTTTAGTGGAGGAAGATTCCCTTCGATACATTTTCACTGTTTTTTTTTCTTTGGCACATTTTGCCAATCGCGAATGTGGGTGGACCCATTCGGTATAAATGGGTCCCTCATTAATATGTACTACATAATTTGCCAAAGAGGACAAAAGTATTGGATAAATTGAGAGGGTTGGCTAAATCAGGGGCGAGACACAAGGGGGGGATGCTTTGTCTGAACCAGGGGTGGGGTCTAGGTTGTCTGCCGAGGGATGGATTGTTGCAATCTTAGGCTTGAATATTTACACACTAATTGAATTTCAATGACAGATTTAGGCACCCTTTGCGTTGATGATAAAATCCTGCGTAAGAGAGACCAATTGCATGCTCTTCACTAGACCAAATAGAAAAAATTCCTCATTCCACATCAATTGGTAGTATACCGCCGCCTGTCCCGGGGTGGCCGGGCCGGGGGGTTGTTACATAGGATTACAAATAACACATTTTTTCTCAAATTTTCTTAGTAGTAGATTTGTTATCATATATCGACGAGGACGCACAGATACATAGTGGTCCTATTTGAATTCTGAGGTTCCTTTTCCTAGCATCAAGTTTAGACATAGCTTATCTGCTGTATTTAATGCTTTTGGAGGCACACCACTCTCCTACTACTAAATAATAATAATAATAATAAAATGAAAGAGACCTACGTGTAGACACTAATTCAAATGAAATTTTATAGCAAAAAGTATAAAATTAGTTGGAAGAGACTTCACACAAATGACTCGTTTTTATCTACAATAACAGGGAAAAAAAAAGACTCGAATCTATAAGAATTGCAATGTTATATATATATATATATCGTTTATGTCACTCAAACTCGTAAGTCCGAGTAGAATCGAGGACAAATTTTGGGTGTATGACTTGGTCCCTTGATTTATACACCAATTAAATCAAGACTTACATTTTGGTGGGGATTCAAATTCACACTAAAGACTTGGATATGATTCGTCTAAGCAATTAGGGTCCGTCTTACCAACTAATAACACTTTTTGTTTTCTAGGGATGTTGAACCCTTGATTTTAAGAAGACAAACTTTTTATAAGGTAAGAAATATCATTAAACCAAATGCTCGTTGATTACGAACGTTATTGTTGATTCTTAATTTGTATATGGTGTGCTACAAAATATAATAAAACCCATTCAAATTTTGTTTCAAGTGGTTTAAGTAATTATGTTTTCCTCCCCCAATCTTCGAAAACTTTTCAATGTGGGTCAGCACCTTATAAGTTTGGGCTAAATTTGAACGTCACTTTTAAAAGGTTCAAACCTATTAACTATAATTAAGTACATAATGTGAACAACACCTTGTGGTTGTGGGGTCCAAACAACCTTATACAATATCTTGCCACAAAATCCCATTCTACATTTAAGAATAATTCTGTGATTGGCTGCCCTCTCCACATCCTATAAATCTTTTCCCCACCACTTGTTATCTTTTCTACTGAAAATCCAACTTTACCCCTAAAAGATACAAAAATTATTGGTTTGTCTCCAAATAATTAATTTTTCTACATTGCCTCTCCAAAGAAATAAAAGTATTATAATGTGATATGTCGTCTTATTTTTGTTTGGTCTTCCGAATGTTTTGTGTCAAATCAATCAATTAAGAGTCACAAAACAGATGGACGACCAAACAAAAATAAGATGGTAGATCACATTGTCACATTTTTATTTGTTTGAGGGGGTAGTACGAAAAAATTAATCATTCAAAAGACAAACTGAAATTTTTTGTATCTTTTAATGGACAAAATGGGAGTAACCCTTTTTATATTCGGGTCAGAGATTCAAGGGCAATATTGAGAAGTTATACAGAAACAGAGTTCAAAACCGCGTGGTACAAGTGTAGTTATTGGCAGATTCAATTAGGTAATTAATTTCTTCATTGAATTGAAGAAAATCAATGCACAAGTATATATATATATGTGTGTGTGTGTGTGTGAATGTTGTGATCACTACCTTGGCTTCACTTGTCATAGTCAAATAGACCATTTTGATAATGTATTGCAAATATAGATGTATCTAATCTAGCATACTCGGGAAGAAGGATTTGAATAGTTAAGCAACTTGTGGGGATTGAATTTATATCTTAGACTCGGTAAGAATTAATTTTTTCTCTCTGACTTTTGATGAGATTCAAACTTCAAACCTCCTATGTGATGATCATAAGTTTCTAGTCTATTTCTAAGGAGAGTGATACATGAACTACTAAGCAACTTGTGATGGAGATCGAATTTAGGTCTTAGACATAGTAAGGACTAATTCGTTTATGCCGCCTATATATACCATGTCTTTGATGTGATTCAAATCTTGATTTTGTCATTTGAGAGATGAGTCTTGCGCGTAAAAGTTCACCTTAGATAGTTTTTTTTATTACAAGGTATTCAGACTTGAGTTGACTACTCTTTTAAGTTCGATTGTTGGAGATTGATTAGAGATAAGATAATTAGGATGGTTGTAAATGAAGATAGAGATAAGAATCAATTGAGATTTCTGAGATTTTCCATTCTATGAAACCTTCTTTGTTTGAAAAGACGAATAAAATGTTCATTGGCTGTAAAAATTTGACTGAAATCTTTTTATTGGAGGAAAATATTGGAAGATCTTATTGATTAATTAGACTGCGAGATTTCAGTTAATTGAGTCCTATCCAAGAAAGTTCTCCAGTCTTACCCTAATAGTCAAGGAAAACATTAATTAAGGCTTAATAAGAAGAAGAAAAAGAGAATTTTATTTTCTTTTTTCCTTTTTCCTTTTTTTTTTGGGTGGAAGAAAATCTTTTTTCCTAGTCTTTTCCAAGTCCTTCCTTACTTGGGACTCCACAACTAGTACGATGACCTTTTTGTTTTGTGGTCAATTAATTCGATTCAAACTTGGATTCTAGATGAGGAGTTGGAGAGAGAGAGAGAGAGAGAGAGAGAGAGATGGGTGAGTGTGTGAGTAGAGATTCTCAAAAACCGGTAGAAGAGGGAAAGGGTCTAAGAACGTGACAGTAAATTTCCACAAAGCAGTTAAGAATGACTCTTCCTAATCCTTAACCTTTGATGAGCTTTCTTCTTCTTTCATCTTCTCAGTCTTCTCTCTCTGGGTTTTCATTTACCAGCGTTGTTTCATGATCTGATCATCACTGATCTTAATTTGGATCTTCATATCTTCATTGAGGAGCTCAATTTTCGAGCTGGGATTATGAGGGTACCCCTCATACTTTCCTACTGTATCTCTCCTCTCCTTTCTCGCTTTGTTAATCATCTTTTCAACTAAGCATAACCGCCTCTTCCTGATTCGTATAATCTTCTTTTTATTAGCTCACTACTAGGGTTTCTTATAGTCTCTTCTTTTCTGGTAGCTATCGCTTTGATCCATCTGAGGTCTCTTGAGATTGTATTTTGAGACTTTTGGGGTCATACGTACCTACCCATCTCCATTTTTTGTGCAATCTCAGCCATCACTATCTCACAACTACTCACAAACATCATTCGCTACCTTTTTCATTCTATATAAAAACACTCAGCTGGGGTTGTTCTTGAGTTTCTTTCAATGGAGGATGATCGAGAAAATCAGTCACTAACAATCAAGAAAGCCAATCATAGCTCTGCAACACCGGCTTCTGGCGATGGGAAGCTCCGAGTAGCGCTTAAATTTTCGAAGGTGGAAGGTAGGGAAGATGATCAGGTTGGCTCTTCAGGAAAGGATCAGACTCGGATCTGCCCAGAGTGCCACAAAGGGTTCAGCTCTGGCAAAGCTTTGGGGGGTCACATGAGAATTCACGGTCACGAAAACAAAGATCTATCTCTCAAAAAGCTCAAACCCCACCAAACAACCAAGTTCAAGATACAATCGCAACACCAAGTTATTGATCTTATGAAGAAGAAGAGTAATAACACCTCCTATGCTTGTTTGGGAGGTAACAGTAAGCCAACATGTGTGCTTTGTAGTAAGAATTTTCCGTCTATGAAGTCGCTGTTTGGGCACATGAGATGTCACCCGGAGAGAGAGTGGAGGGGAATTCAGCCTCCTCCGGCGGTGAAAAACAGTTCATCTTCATCCGTATTGGACGTTGAGACTCAGAAAATCGATGATCAGGTTGATTCAGCTGGAATTAATGGGACATCGGTGGTAGATCTAACAGTGTCTCTTCGGCGGTGGCCTGTGACTGCCAAGAGAGGCCGTAAGTCCAAGGCCTTAGCCTTAACCTCCACATGGGCTCTATCCAGTTCAGAGGATGAGGATGAGAAGTGCCGTGATGCTGCTAATGATCTCATCATGTTAGCTCATGGAGATTCTTTAGAGTCTGGCCTAACTCATAAACAAAGGGTCGAGGACTTTGAGGCTACAAACAGCAATTCAGCCGAAATTGAGGACGCAAATCGGGCTTCGGAAGTCGAGGAGTCACCATTTGAGAACGGAGGGGATTATCCTATGAAGAAGCTCAGAATTGAGGAAAGAGGGTCCAAATATGTTGGAAATAATAGTGGCTTGAGTATGAACATGGATAAAGAAGGCAAAGGTAAGGCTATGTTGGAAACAGTTTGTGTTGCTGAAAAACCAGAAGACAGGCCTGAAGGGTTTGATCACAAGAAATGCTCATACGATGATTGCAAGTATCATGAGAGTAGTAATGGGCAGACGGTTACGATTAAGAACAAAAAGAGGAGGAAGACGATGAAACTGATGGATTTGGAGGCAATACAAGACCTCAGTCCCTTTAATCTGAAGGCAGATGTGAGTACAATTATCATGCCAGGTCAATACAGATGCAGCACCTGTGAAAAGTGCTTCCCGTCTCACCAAGCCCTGGGTGGACATAGGTCCAGCCACAACAAATTCAGAATTCACATCCAAAACACCATTGATGAATCATCATCTGCTGCTGCTGAGGTTGAAAATTCTATCTATCCCATTACCCTACTGGATGAAATCAAAGAAAATGAAGGGGCAAGCTCAACGATGATGGTGGAAAGCACACACCAATGCCAGATTTGCAACAAGACTTTTCCTACAGGCCAGGCTCTTGGGGGTCACAAGAGGTGTCACTGGACAGGGCCAGCGGAAGCTCCATCGAGCCAAGTCACATCCCCCGGTGAAGAGAGCCAGACGGGTCGTAAAGTTCAGACGTTTGATCTCAATGAGCTGCCTCTCATGGAGGATGAAGGTGGGTTTGAGTCTGAACATGCAACTGGTTATGGTTATTTTTCTTCTTCATACAACTCAGTTGCTATAGTCAGTTGAATTTCCCAGTCTTTGCAGCTTCTAGCTAGGAACTTAGTTGCTCAAAAGGTCAGTTCCTCAATTTTGTTGACAGTTTAGTACTTTGGGTAAGTTCTGGTTTGCTGATTTTTTGGTAGCAGTGGTGGGAACTCAGTTGCACAGAGGAACCATCCAGGTTCTTTCTTGTTTTCTCGAATGGGGTCTTCAGTGCCTTTGTCTTCTTGTGTTTATTTTCTTCATGGAAAGTATGATAGTCTAACAGGCTTGCTTGCTGTCAAGGAAAGATCCAAAGCCTTTTGTTTTTTCTTTGGTGTAGAATAGAATGATAATGCACAGAAGCTGCATATACTTATGGTTCCTTTTCAATTAAAGTTCCTTTGGGATATGGACTTTAATTTCTTTGTTCCATTACTTGGAAGCTCTTCTCCTCAATACGTGACACACACACACACACGCACACACATATATATACACATTTTCAGATTGAATGTGCTCAAATATTAAGTAGTCAGTGGCGTACAACGAATACTAATGGATAACTCTTCAATATTATATCGAAGTTGTTATAAAATAAGAGTGAATGTACGACTTACGACAAAATAGAATTGTTTAGTATTAAATTTTTTTTTTTTTAAAAACTTGTAACTTGAAGCTATTGAGTTGTAATTAGTCTTTTGATGTATAAAAGGAGCCTAAATAAATTGTAACTAGCCTTATTTGCTTGTAGTTTTTGATACCATCTTCCTTCGATACCATAATCTTTCCCTTTTGTTAATCATTATTTAAGTGGTTGATGAAAATTAGTGACCCAGAAAACATCACTAAAAGTGGGTAGTAGTGTCCAGAAAGGAGATGGTCATCAAAGAAAGAAGGATGGGGCAAAAGTCAATAAACCCCTCTACCAGCACACACACCCCTTCTAACTTTCCTTGCAAGATTCAACTTTTCCCTTGTTTATTCATTAATATTTTATAAGTTTTTAAAATTAAAGAACATAGAACTCCCTCAAAGCTACCCTTTAAAGAGCAGGAACTTGGTGTATATTCCACAAAGAACACTTGGTGGGGTCATTTGAAAAGGTCTTAATGTCTGGACAAAGATGTGGAATTATCTCCCAAAACTATAGAAAAAGAGTTATAAGAAAATTATATGCCACGGTCTGAACAAATAATTACAGTCTTACACTCCTTTCTTTCAAATAATTACATGTTTAGATTATAAAATTCTGTTGGTTTTCAGTTTTCTGTCCAATTCAAGGAGCAGTCTCTCCACTTAGTTCTTGACTTATGACCAAGTCAAAAGAAACAAATCATACCAAACCATCACGGCCCCTTCCAGGGTGCAATCTTATTTATTAAGTTTAGAATCTGTGAGTTGGTCACACATACGTATGCGTGTGTGCGTGACCAACTCACAGACACAGTGCTCCGTTCGAGCACTGCTTCGAGGACGAGAATCAATCTCTTTAACATGCGTGTTGGATGAGATAAATATTGGAGAAAGAGAGAGAGAGAGAGAGAGAGTGGTAACTCGGTGGGGTGATTTAGAAGGGAATGGGAGTAGTGGGAGCATAGAGTAAAGAAGTAACACATACTTCTTATTGCCGATGAGAAAAAGGAAAGCTCAACTGTTTTCTTGACTCATTCTCGTGAACCTTATGAAAACAAAGCTTTATATACGAATCATTTTTGACTTTATCATACCTTACCACCTTCTTCATGCCATCTGATTTTCTTCATAGTCCCATATAGAACTACTGCTACAGCGCTACTTGCTCGTATTGACACTCAGAAATCCCCTTGCACATGCCATTTAGCGTTAAATCTTAAGAGTAATGGAATAAGGACTGATTTGAGGATATAATTAGAGAATAAATGTAATACAATCATTGAGTTGGGTGTGAGTTTTTTTTGACTTAATGTAATGCTATCTGAGCGAGTTTAGAACATGTCCCTTGAGGAATAAAGACATTTAGTCTTTAGAGATATGAAAAGTGTTGTACTTGAGAATTTTGAATTATCGGAGGCCAAACTCAGCCACTGAACTAGTACCCCTAAGGCTTGAATTAGTTATAAGTTCAAATGTTATATGAAGTCTACTTTTAATCCAACAGGTATAATTCATTAGATTCTCAAATTAAATTCAAATAGCATTTTCCTTAATCATATAACATGGTCTTTTTTCATAGCATAATTATTGTGTTACACGTTTGAGGGATAAGTAATGTGACATTGAAGGGTAAACTTAATTTACTATAAGAAAAAATCCTTTTTACGTCAATTTTTTTTTTTTTTTTTGCGTGGGCTATATACCAATGCAAAAAAGTTTTTTGGAGTCGACATTTGAATCTAAAGCAAAAAGTAATCTTTTTTGAGTCACAGAGTCGATGCAAAAGTGGAGGCCCCATGTAAAAATTAGATTATTTTTCCATTTTTTGCATCGACAATGAGCTGATGCAAATAAAAGGACAGGAGATTGCAACAAGTCTTTCACTTGCCTTGCCCTTCTCATACCAAACGACATTGCTAAATATTATGCATAATACCACTAATTATATATTTTCGTTTCTTTTTTACTTTTTACTTTTTTCCAAGTTCAAAAGAATCTATATCCTTGGCAGGTGTTTTTCACTTTTAAGTTATTTTCCAATTGAAGACGTTTAAAAATTAAAGTTGACATTGAATTGTATCGTATCAAGTTTATATATATATATATATCATGTATAATTTATTGTTGTAAGTATATCGGGAGATGATCTAACTCGAAGTTGGAGTGCACTCTTGTCTCGACTTGTATAAAAGATCATTCTTTGACTAAAAATGGGGTACATATTCTATCTAATTGAGATTATTATTAGTAATCTAGGCCAACTTGGGCCTTTATATGACATCAAGCCACTAATTATTTTATTATATGACGTTTGAATGCCTAATGAATGTGTCGTAGTGGACATGAATCATGTGATTTTATAGTACTGCTACTACCAATAACCAAAAGGTTCTTCGTTTATGTGAAAGGATAATACAGGAGAGCAAAAGTTTTATCCTAGATTAATGCATTATTGTTCCCATAGGAGTCAATAAACTTGTTTAATTACGAGTCGTAAATCTAAACATCCTGAGTTTGAATTTTGACTACCCTTTAGGACTAGACTATGAAGGATTTATCCCTTGACCTGCCTTTTACCGGAACGGAGAGGGGATTAAATAAGATACGTGTAAATTGATCCAGACTCCTAACGGTTGAAAAAACAAAAAGACTTGCTTAATCTACTTATAAGCACGATAGTAACTCATGATTCTTAGAACCCCTGCCTATACAATGTAGTTTCATTGAAAGCAGTAAAATCAAACTTCGAAAACGAATACTTGATTACAAAATAAGTTGAAACTTGAAATTACTAATGTTCAATAGGAAACAATGTAACAAAGTGTTTTTACTCGGTACCTCAATATGCATGGCGTGCTACTGGTAATTTTAATTTTGCACATCATTAATCGAAAACTATAGTGTTAACTAAATACTTTGGATTATTAGACTGATTAACAGATTTATGCGAGCATCAAAACTACAGCATTTAGCCTATGAAAATATACTAAAGGGTCAGCTAGAGCAATCACTCAAAGCAAGAAAAAAATAAAATAATTGACAGCTGATAAATCATTGTGACATGTCACCTTGCAACAACACCCATTACCACTACAATATATATATATATATATATATATTTTGTTAAAATACTTAATAATTTATTCGAAGAATTATTGTTATCAGCAGCAAACACCACTTGTTTTAGCTGGGCACATACAACTATCGAGGCCATAGGGCAAAATTTACTGAATAAGAATGTATCTTCAACTTTTGATGTTGAGAATTGCTGTTATATGGGAACAGACTCGGAATCTGATATATTTATCAACTTCTAACAAACTAACATCAAAACATTTTGCTTAAGGGAAGGTTGAATAATACAAAATGACTCACAGTCTGCAAAATTAGGTGGGTACCACCACCCCAGCATTAAGGGGTGATAACTTGAACACAAAAAGTGCCAGGATAACAACCAGCAACATCAACTGTATAAAGAAACACCAAGTAAACTTACAAATCTTCTTCTGAAGCCTCAAAACGTCATCGGCAGCGACAATATCTTCACAATAAGTCTCCAACTTTTCAGCTTCCCTTTTTAGCATGGCAGCCTTTCCTTCTACATATCCAAGCTTGTTCAGCATCTGGGCCTGCTCCAAAGCAAGAGTTTTTTGTTCTTCCAGAAGTGTGATTTGATCCACTGCTGCAACTCTCAAATTTTGGACGGTTCTCGATATTGCTAAATACTGAACCTCAGATTCAATCTTTTGACTGAAGAGGCCCTCAAGTTCAGTCTCCACCCCTCTATATTTTTCTTGTTGCAACCCTACAGTGCTCCCTGATTCTTCCTTTGCAGACATGCTCCTACCTAGTGTGGCTTCAAGTTCAGTAATCTTGACTTCCTTCATTTGGAGCATGACCCTTGCCTCCGCCAGCTTGCTCTCCAAAGAATTGACACTCCGTTTTAAGCTAACCAACTGGGTTTCAAATGGATGAGAGGCACTTTGTCCACTCTCATCACATAGCAATGGGTCGGACGAACTTTGTTCATGGACTTCTGGGTCATCATAAGTGAACTTTGAAGGTGAACTACTACCATTGAAGACAGAAATATCTTCCTTGCCAATGTCTTTTAATTTCTGAACTTCTGCAAAGTACACAAGATTCACTTAGAAAAAAAAAACTGAACTCATTCCATAAAACTAGAAGAAAGACCATCCAACAAAAAAGCAAAAAACAAGAAGAAGAAAGACAGCAATGAATTCCTCAGCATATCTGGAGGAATTAGATAGAGGTCCACCCAACTGCATGTATCACAGGTTCTAAGTGAATAGAGGTCCATTCAATATTGTTTACACAGGATCTCACGCAATTGTTCAGCTTCACATCACTACTTTTGAAGCAGACAGTAGGAGCATAGTAGGATGGCTAGAGGACGGAGTTGGAGTGTCTTCTGTAAAATAGTAAAGCAGCCCCCTTAGGAGGGTGGGAAAGTAAAGGAGGGACGGTATGATGGGTGGAAGAGGTAACCTTAAGAAAGGAAGCTGTGTTTTTCCTTCTGGTGTTTAGTTGAGTTCGAGAGAAAGGAGGACGGAAAGCATTACCTAATTTTACAATAACCCTCTCATTTGCAGGTGCAGCGGAAACAAAAAAACAAGAAAGTGAAATACAACGTTTACAACACTGTAACTACCCTTTAGCAATATATTTGCCTATAAATTTTTTATCCATTTAGCAATATATTGGCCTCTTGAAACCAATTCTTACTCAACACTAACACCTTTCCCCACTTGGGAAGTTGTATTATGGAAAACTAAAAATGTTTTAGGTCTGCATGGTAAAGTAAGAATCTCCCACAAAGGTATACAACCAAGTCTTAGCATGTGGATCTTTTCCTTCAACTATGTTAGTTCAAATATCTGATATATCCCAACTTCCCAAGTCCCACCAACTCAATTTTAACTAACAATGAAATGTTCTAATGTATTTCTTAGCTTGTTGTTTGCTATCAAGTAATTTTGAAAATTGGAAGACTATATGCAAGCTTTATTTAGTTACCTCAACCCCTTGCCTTAACCACATTCTGGTCTCTTGAATCCATTAATCTGACATATCAATCTTTGCTAAAAGGATTAACTTCTTGTGAAGGAGTCAAAATGAGGCAAATTTTGAGTTTCTAATCTAACAGCTATATTAATTCTCCCTCCTTTCTTAGTTTTTCAAGCTTACTAATTATGAAATAATCAAAAATCTAAAGCTACCATAGTTTTGACCTTTCCATTAATAGAATGATATCTATTTCATATTTTCAAATTTTTGGGACTCCCCCACTTAGATAACTTCAGGAAGAAGTAGAATAAAAACATTATATTTTTTAATCATGCGGGATGTAACCCTCCCCCAATACATTGGTAGGAGGCTTGTGCACCAGACAACCCTTTTTTATATACTTGATTGACTCTGATTATTGTCGAGATTGTCAAATATTAAGAAACACTGACCCAGAAAGAGAAAAAAACAAAACACATCTCAAAGAATCCTATGATTCCAACACCAATGTTACTCTTGCCTAGAAAAAAAAAAAAACCATAAGGAGACAAGACAATAATAATTATCAAAGCCCGCAATGAAGGAAGACACACCCACCTTTTTCAAGCGCATCCTGCACAGACTGGAGTGAAAGGATGGACTCAACCAGAGAATCCTTATCTGAAGAGGACCCCTGGTTCTCGCTTTTTTCTTCCTTAGCCTCCCAAGACAAGTCAACCCCTAAATTTTCTTGAAACACCTCTTCAAATTCTCCCATCTCTTTTCTGCCATTACCAATTTGAAATTCCTCACTAAACTGTTGATCACAGCCCTGAGCTTCGTCACTATTTTCTCCATCATAGTTCATTGGCATTCCACTTTGTCTCCCATTACTGGTCACAGAATCAGTGCCTTGCATAAAGACAAAGTTGGAGCTTCGCGAGTCAGATTCCATGCTGGAATGAGAGTTTTCCTTCTCGATTTTGATCAATTCACCTCTAGGTTTCTTACTCGTTTCAATCTGACCCTTCCCCTGCTGACTCCGCTGCACCGAATTAGCCATATTCTTCCCACTCAGACTCCTCCTGTTCTTATCCCGTGCCCCTGCAGGTTTCTCACACCTCATCTTTGGAGCGCTCGCTGCCGTGGAAGACCTGCTGCTCCGATCCTCGCTGCTCTCGGAATCTTCCCGGGCATTAAAGGTGGGTCCAACTGCTGACCCAGGATCGCCAATCATGATGAAACCATCAACCACAGCTCCCGGACTTCTCACCATTGCATTTGTTGACGAAATGGAGCCCGCACTCTTTTGCTTCACATCAGCAGAAAAATGCGAAATTTTGATTGATTTAGCAGCCGTATTCGACAAACCCCGCTTCAATATCTTACTACTATCTACATTAATGCTCCCATCAGTATTCACTTCCCTCCTAATCCGTCTCCATTTCTTCAACCCATAGCCTTTCATGGCTGTCCCCAAAGGCGACGCGATCGTCGGAGGTGAATTCACTAACTCCGTAACTTCAATCCCCTTCCCTTTTGCATTTTCCACTAGTTTATCATCATCAACAACAACGCAGGAGCCATTGTTTGCAATCTTGGTGGTGTCGTCAGAAGAATTAACCAATTTACCAGGGGTTCTAACTTCATCATCTTCCCTAGATTCAAGTGACGAACACCCACTTTCCAAATCCATTCCTATGAGAAAAAAAGCCTAGGCTTTGTATCGAATGACGAATTCGTATGACTGCAGGAGGACCCCCAAAACCCAAAATTCAGATCAAGATCGAGAACAAGCAACCATCATTCCAGCTCACGGGGACCAAATCTAGCAAAAATCCAGAAACTATCAGTTACTTAGTTTGGGTAACTTCGCATTGGATACCAAGTGGAATTCAATGCAAGTCAATCATTCAATTTTCGAATTTCGAAGACAAATTGAAGTGGAAAGGGTGAGACGAATTCAAAGTACGCGGACAGTAAAAAATTGTAATGAAATAAATCCAAATTCAAATGAATGCTGGGTTCAGCAGCATACCTTTTTTCTTCATAATGATACAGCTAATTACAGCTGATGAAGATGGAAACCCTAGCAACGCGGTGGATTTGGAATTTTGTACCCATGAAAAAGAAAAACTGTATGAGAATTATAAAATTTGAATATTAGGTGTTATTGTTTGGACCGTGAGTTGGTAATTGATGGGCCACATGAGGGTGGTGGCCCATATGGAAAGAAACAGAGAATAGTTGTGATGCCTGAGCCTGACTGCTGCTGATCTGGAACGCACGTGACTGCACGAGCCATGACCAACTTATCTATGTAATTTCTTTGTTTTTATTTTCTTATTATTGCAATTTGATGGGATTTTTTTTGGAAATACATTTACTAAAGATCAATCTTTTATTTGGTTTACCCACCACCAACCCTGAGATACCAAGTGATCTACTTTTATTAGGGTTAATTAATATTTTGTTTGTTAGTCAAATTTGTTTCAATAAGAGGTAGTAACCACAGTCTCTCTGATGACAATATCGTCGCCGAAAAGTGCATATTTACTAAATTTTTTTCTTGGATATACTTTATCAATACAATACCATATCACAAAGTAATGTGATAGAGCGAACAAAGGCCAAGACGAGAGGTACCGTAGAGGCTATGTCATGTAGAAAATCAATATCTTTCATATGCTTATTATATATTTTTTTGAAGCAAATTCAAATAACTAATGAACTACCTGGCTGCCAACAAGAATTCCCGGAAGTTCCACACATCAGCTCAGCTGGCTAATCTGCAATCTATTAACAACTAAGCAGATCATTGTATGGCCAAAAACAAAGAAAACAAACCTAAGCTGATCATATCAATCAAACGCAGACTTAAGTGAACAGAGATATAATAATTAAAACTCTTTTAAGATGGAGATTTCTTGGTTAACATACATCAGCGTGGCAAATTGGCAATTGTGTGCACATAAAAATATAAACTGAAACCCCCATGAACCTAGTCCAAGTGGTTTCTGATGGCATCAAAATGACTTAAACTAAGCTACATCTAACTCTAAACATTGAGTACCCCTCTTGGGGTTGCAGCATGATGGGTTCTGGAAAGCTATGGCACTTTCGCATCTTTAATCATAAATTCATACTGATAAATCAAAGTAACCTCTTCTAACGGTCTTCCACATTGCTCAAATGTTTCAGTGAGTTAAATATCTAACCTGGTAAGTAAACCTTAAATCTTTCTTCCCCTTATTGAACATATTGAGACTCAACAACACCAAACCAAGCTTTTGGAGGGTCATCATTCGTTGTTTGAATAGGCATGAAAAGCACAACTACCTGGTGAACTTCCTTACAAAATTCCAGCCACAGATACCAAGGCCCTAATCATCAAGGTAACAACTTCCGGGTAAGGATGTTCCAAGTTACTTTTTTCCTTCTTCAGGTTCTCTTTCACCTAACATAGTAGTGAATTTGGTAGCATCATCACCATATAACTCTCCTTCTCCAATCTCTACTCCATCCCCGGCATTTTGTTTCGGCCTTACAGTCACCTTACATATAGCCACCTTAGTCTCAAATCCAACGCCTGAAAATCATACTCCCCCACTGCACTAACCCTCACCCACCCACCCACGCCTGTTTCATACTGTGGTTCCCAGTTGAATAACGTCCAACCCCTACACTCCCCCACCTGAACCATATGATTTGTAAAATGGCACAATATGGTTTTTCTGATGACCCCACCAATACTAAGCTCAAAATTGTGAACAGTGTTCAGTTTCAGGCCCGGACTCTGCACCTCTAATTTCATTTCCATTTTCCGTCCCTTGAATTTCATTTGGAAAAGGCTCTGTTACACCACCTTCAAATGCCAAACTCAGGAGGCTGTGATGCATTCATAGCCCTCCATGGTCAGAACCACAATTTATCAGGCTTTTGCAAATGGATTGAATCGGAGAGTGAGCTCAGGGCATTGCTTGCTTTGTCACAGCCAGGGCAAAGTACTCAGATAATTAGAGCCAGCAGATTACTGATCTGGCCATTTGCTCAGTTATGTTTGGGGTTTGGTTGTCGCTAGTTTAACATCCTTAACCATCTAAGCTTGGAGGAGATGAGATTCTTTGCTCAACATAAGAATCTGATCCACACATTGACCAGAATGATATTGCAGGTTTTCTTAACCACAATTCAGGCAATAAATATGGCAAAGAAGCAATTGATGGACTAATCAAGTCTCATGAATTTAATCTGGAAGCAAATGAGAGTAAGTGCAGAACCTGTGTATTGAAAGCTGCAAGAATTTTGAGGGCAAAGCATGGAAGGAAGAGTGTTGCCGAGAAGGAACTAGAAGGGCTTGAGGAGCTGCAAATTTCCAAGACTGCTTCAAGTAGGAGTTTGGTTTGCCCCAGCAACCATTTCAGCAAATTTACTTGCTGCAGCTATGAATAAGCCCGCCACTAGAAACAGGTTCAGAAAATGGACCCAAATGCCTGAAGGTGGCCTTCTATTGTTGTTCTGGTCAGTTTTTTTTAGCAATCAAAACATGAAGAGTGAAGAGGAGTCAGCACTTCTCTTAGTTAAGCTTTGTTTGACACGAAGAGTGAATGGGCAGCCTGGATGCTGGATCCAGTTCCACCCTATAACTCAGAAATTTCCAAACGGAAAGATGGTTTGGTCACTGCTAAGTCTACAGTCCAAGGTTTTTTGAAAATTGGAAACCCTAGGCTATTCAGACCACCTTCGGGCTTCCCTTTCCTTCTCTTTGGGTTCGAATGAAAACAACCCTACTGATGCAGCTGAAGGCAATGGACATGACTCTTCACTAAAAAGACAGTCCTACCTCTACCAATTGGAGGATTCAGAAACTTCACAAGGTATCCCTCAGCCTTGGAGCTCCTGAAAGTCAGCACAAAAGTGCTTGAAGAAGTAGGTAAGGTAACTAGTTTGCTTCTCAGATGCAATACTGGTGTCATTGCTCTCTGTGCCGGGGACAAAAAACTGCAGGCCAATCAGAGGGTGGATGAGTATGTATGTCACAAATTGTTGAAAGTTAGACATACATCCCTAAAACTAAAACCCTCAACCTTTTTTTTTTTTAAGAAAAAAAGAATATTATTCAATTAACACAAGAATCAAGAAGATAAGGCCATTTTGGCAATACCTCAAAGAATTACAAAAACCAAGAATAGACCACTTTGGTCCAATCATTTTACAATACCAAGTATAAAAAACTACCAAACAACCACCTCCTGCTATTATCAGCATCAACACCCAAATCTGCACGCCAATACATTCTTGGATCTCAAAACTGGGAGCTTCCTGCAGTCTTGCATCAGCAGATGCTTCACAGGATTAGGCAGCTGAACAGGACCAGAATAATCTGCTGAGAAGCTGTCCTGCACTGCTGTCTTCGCCAAGCAGTCTGCCACACAATTTGCCTCTCTGTATACATGCCTCAGCTGGAACTCCATCTGCCCCAAAAGCTAATCTGAGCAAGAAATCCTAAACAATTCCAAGCACATTCACTCTTCCCCAAAACAGAATTCACTAAGACAAGAGAATCTGATTCAATCAAAGATTCTACAGGCAAACAAACCATACTCCCTCACCATCCTCAAACCATCTAACAGAGCCTAAAACTCTGCCACCATATTTGTATCCACACCATAATAAAATGATCCAGCTAAAACCACTTTCCCCCATTCATTTCTCAAGACAACACCACCACCAGCAGGACCTGGTTCCCTCTCGAAGCACCATCTACATTCAGCTTTAAAAGACCAGCACCAGGACCATTCCCAGCTTACCCAAATTGCCTTTACAACTTGGTAAGAGTCGTAAGAAACTTTCACCTTGAGCCATTGCAGCAAGGCAATGCCATACCTATCATCCTGCACTTTTACCCTCACATTCCTCCCCTGATACCTCATGATACTGCAGATTTTCAAGAAAACAGAGTAAGAATGCAGCCTTCCTTCCCCAGAAACTCTCCTGCATCTTTCCTTCCAAACCTGCCAAAATACCAAAAGAGGAATGCTAGTAACTAAACCATGAGCCATTGAATGCTGCTTGTATACCCTACAAATTCTTCTTAGTCTCACTAAAGGACATTCACTTCCAATAAGCTGAAAACCTATTACCAGCCAACCTACTCCAAATTGCAGATGTGTAGGCACACCCAACAAATAAATGCTCAGCATTCTCCTCTTCCTGATAACACAAACAACACCTACTCACCACAGGAATGCCAATTTGCCTAACTCTATCATCAAAGGCAGAGCCTTCATTAAAATCTTCCAACCTACTAGCTGGGCACTAGGAGCAGTCTGAATACCCCACATGCCAGCAGCAGTAACATTCAAACCTCCTTTCATCCTACTCTCCTGCCAAGCTGCCTTTACAGAAAACTTCCCAGCACAAGAACTCTGCCACACCAATTTATAAGAGATCCCAGATAACATCAGACCAGAATTCACAACCCCATCCCTGAGTTCTTCAGTCAGGAATCCCTCCACTGCACCCAACTGTCATTGAGTGTGACCAATTCTGAAATCTTAGGAAGCTTTGTGGCAAAACCTCAACCTTACACAACAAAGTACCATCACCTATCCAGTTATCACACCAAAAATCAGTGTGACTACCATTTCCAACTATCTTTTTAGACTGAACCACCACCCTCTCAAAATAAGGTCTAAGCATTTCAAGACATTTAAAGTGACTCTTGTTGAAAAAAATAAAAGCTTTAAAATTTCTCATTTAATTTATTTTTTATGCTTTAATGGATAACTTTTAATTTAGGATTTAATTGGATTTTTATATGATTTAAATGAGTAATTATACTTTGTTTTAATTGGTCATTTGAATGCCTTTAAGTGGCAAACATATATAAAAGGAGCTCATGTGATCTAATGGGAGTATTTTTTTTTTGTAGTATGTATTCTTTTTCCATAAATATTGTAGATGTATCTTCCGATTATGTTTTTTGGCAACTTTGATTCAAGTCAAGTTTACCTCAAGCTTCGAGTGGACGTGACCCCTAAGAAGATGCTGTTGTGTGCATATTTGGGTTTGGATCTTGGATCTGCATATGTCTGTTAGTACCTTCACGTGGGGAGGCATAGCTGCTTTAGGACAATGATCACACCCTCCTAGATATGACAGACTAGCTCTTTCTAATATATTATTATCTATCTTACACTGTTCTAATCGCATGTTATTGTGTTATATATTTGATTGAATTCTTGTTATATTGTGTTTTTATAATTATGTTGTAATTAATATTTGTAAAATTATGGAATTTTACCCCAACAACTCTTCCCTTAGCATCTCAATAAATGCTTTCTCTGCAAGAATTTGGCAGAAAAGACTTGGGCCCATAGAGAAGATCCTTGCAATAAACTCCATACCTGTTCCATTCTAAAAGCATCTGCACCTCCTCAAACTTCCTCAATCCCAAACCACCCTCCTTTTTAGGCAAATTCAACTTCCCCCAAGAAATCCAATGTCTTTTCCTTACACTCATCTTATTAGACCAAATGAAACCTGCCATTAGAGCATTAAGCTTAGAGATGATAGTCTTTGGCAAGTCCAAGCAGGCCAGCAAAAGGATAGGAACAATACTCAGCACATACTGAACAAGTAAAACCGTACCCATGTTTGATAACATCCTTGCATACCATCTTTCTAACCTCTGCCTAAACTTAAACAATATCTCTTCAAAATATCTGATCCTAGCTCTTCCCTTTATAATAGGACAACCAAGATATGTAAATGGACATTGTTTAACAGGTATACAAGCCACTCCAGTCAATACCTGCCTCCTTGCCACAGTAATATGCTTAGAACAATACATAGAACTCTTTTGGAGACTAACCGTTCTGCCCAGAACTCAGCTCATACCTTTTAACAAAAGCAAACAAATTCACCATTGACTGCTTATAACCCCCCAAAAAGATCAGGGTGTCATCAGCAAACAGCAAGTGACTGACTAAAGAGGAACCTCTTCCCAAATGAAACCCTTTCACCAACCCATCCAGATATAATTTCCTCAAACCTCTACTTAGTACTTCTTCATCAAGGATGAACAGGTAAGGAGAAATAGGATCTCCTTGCCTAAGACCCCTCAAAGAAGAAAAGAAACCTCTCCTCTGCCCATTGACACAAACAGAAAAGTACTGATTTTCCAAACAGTTAGCAATGATCTTTACAAATAACTCTGAAAATCAAAAACTAGATAGAACTCTCAACAAGAAGTCCCACTCTAGCCTATCATAGGCTTTCATCATATCCAAATTAAGAATTAAATTGTCTGCCTCCACCTTCCTATCCAGCTCACCAATAGGCTGTGCCAGAGAAATACACTCAACTAAACTAATACCTCTTCCCCTTACAAAACCATGCTGTTCAGTTGACAAAGAAGCAAGCCTATTTGCCAAAAGTTTGGTAAAGTTGCACAAACTAATTGGTCTAAAATCAACAAAAGACATAGGATTAGACTTTTTAGGTATCAAGGTTAAGAGTGTAGCATTGACTGATCTAGGTACTTTCCCCCCTCTCAAGAAAAATTTCACAACATCCACCACATCCTGCTTATTCACATCCCATGCCACTTGAAAAAACTTACCAGATAGCCCATCAGCACCAGGTGCACTTTGTGCAGACAAGGAAAAGACCACAGATCTCACTTCTTCCACAGTGGCTATCCCTGTAATTCTGTCATTTTCCTCATTACTAACCAACTGAGGAACAATAGAGAACAACTCATCTTCACATTCATGTTGTTCAGATTTATAAAACCCAGAATAAAATTCCACTGCCACCCCACCAATCTCCTCATCTGTGAGATCCCATTTACCATCACCATTTTGAATCCTATTTACCCTGTTCCTCACAGCCTCCCCTTTAGCAAGAGCATGATAAAACTTGGTGTTTTACAATTCCTATGATTTTATTATTGAAGAGTTGCACTCATATAAAATGAGTATGAAATAATATGTAATGTTTATTATATATTAATGTATAAATTACTAAAAATAAAAATTATGCGACACCACATTGTAACATTGAACATCTTTACGATGAGAATACGGTCCACGTATTATTTTTGACAAATTTAAAAAAATGCATAAAATATGGAATAACGCATATATTACCTTTGATCCTTATGCATCATCCATGAATTAATTTGTCTCACTTAATCGGTTCTATAGACAAAGACTCGATAATGAAGTGCAAACAGAGACTACAATTGTTACGAGATATACAAACACTTTGATCATTTGAATGGGAGGAGACAACCCTAATTTAATTTTCAGCCCTTAAGTCAGTTTCGTATTCTGTGACCCTTTTGAATAGACCAAGTTAAAGGTCCAATATATTTCAGAAATCTATCTAAAACTTTATAGAAAGTCCTAAAATTAATAATATTTTCACAGGTCTATGTAAAGCCT